CCAAGATTCAGACCAGGAGTCAAATGCAGCATGCTTGGATGAAGAGGATCCTTTCTCAAAATTGAATGATCATGGCCTGGTACTAAGCTTTAATGCAGTGGAGGATCACACTACGGAAAGGGAGGGGCCCATTCTATACACACATTCAGAGGGAGAGGATTTAGTTTTCATAGACACAATGCTTAGACCACTTCAAATAGATCTCTCAAGCTGCCCGACGAATCCCTTATATCTGCGCAAGGAACAAAAGGGAAGGAAAACTTACTCCCCTTCACAAATCGTTACAAGAAGTAGGGCTAAACTTCTAGCCCAAGGCAGGAGGGTCACACCAATTGGATGGGAAGAGGAACAGGAACTGATCGATCCTCAGGAATCTCATGAACAAGAGGTAATTAATTTCTTCAAGCTTTGTTGTCCAAACAAAAAAGAAGATCGAAAACCTCCTTCAAAGCCAATGAGCAAAAGCCAGAAAAAGAAGTTAAAAAAGAAAAAGAAACACAACCAGGTTTTTGTTTTGGGATATGATGAAGAGGATTTTTATATATAGTTTACATTGCTGGCCAGTTTATGTCGTTTTGATGGTTTTAGTTCATCTGGCTTCTCAAATCATCGTGGTCTTCGTATCTCATGTTCTCAAATGGTTTAGTGAGGAAACGTTTTAATTTTTTATGTTTATTCTTGGAGCAAAGTATGACCAGTGGCAGGTTGCTTGGCCAATTGCTTTTCTTATGACCTTGGGTTTCCTCCATTGCTATTGGAGAGATTTGGCTGGAATATTTGGAAGTACTCATGCAACGGGATGTTTGTAGATGCTAAATGATGATGGTCTAATAGAGGAGGCCACTGTTTTCTCAATGACTAGGGTTTGGAGCTACTGCCTGGCCTTCACTCAGCTCCTACAGATTACACGCTCTTTGTTTCCTGTTCATTGTTGGGTTTTTGTTCAATTGTGTAGTCTCCTTTTCAATGCCATACTCTTGTTCACTGCGGCAGTTTCTTGAGATTTGAAGCTTTATGTGGATCTTTACAAGCTGAAGGAACAGAATGCAAGACCATCGGGCCATGCTTCTGTTAGGTTCTCGCTGGGTATCTCCCTGGTGTGCTAGCACAGCTGTATTCGGATGCTCCCTTTGTTTGGATAGAGGTACAAGGTACTGTGATAGAGCAGGGACATAATGCACATGATGTTGGAGGATGCTTTAAGGAAAAAGGACCTGCACTGGAGTTTGGTGATTGACTGCACTGGTGTTTACTCTAGCTGGTCCATTTATTTTCTTGCTTTTGGTTTTACACTTTTTTAACTTCTTATGAATGTATTTTCTTTTTTATTTTGGCTTTTCTTTTGGGGTTGGCCACTCCTCTGCACTTGTACTTTCTTTTTCCTCTTTTTAATAATATTTTCACTTAAAATATACACACACACACACACACACACACACACATATATATATTAACTTTTTATTAACTTTTTAATTTTTAAAATTAAAAAAAAAATGAGTTTTGGTGTTCAAAGTGGTGAGCTTTGCATTGTCCATTGGTGAGTTTTGTAGTGTAGTGTGGTGAGCTTTTGCATCATCTCACCGAAGCATGTCATCTCACCATAAAGTGTCATCTCACTGGAGTCAATCCCTATATATATATATATATATATATATATATATATATATATATATATATATATATATATATATATATATATATATATATATATATATATATATATATATATATATATATAAGTCTAAGCGACCCCATCATCTGTAAAACGTGTCATATTGGCACCCTCGTCTTTAATTATCGTGTTATGCAGTATAATACATGCAAACATGATGTCCGTGATGAATGATCGGCACCATGGGCATACAAGGCCTTTCACAATCGCCTAATGCGTTTGGATGACTCTGAATGCATGTTCCACATGTTTTCATTCTGACTCTTTTTTCTATGCGAACAATGCCCTCTTTGGACTTGTGGGACACGTGATTGTTTTCACAAACATTAGCCAATGTGGATAGATCCCATCTGCCAAATAATATCATGTGTTATATTAGCGACCATGGACGGTGAATTGCACGACTGGCGCACATCTAGCATAGGCATCATTGAATACTAGAGACCCATTCAACACGTTTAGATCATTTTTTGATCTGGCAGCTTAGGAGTACGCATGCCAAATCCACAAACGATCGTCGAAAAAAGCATCGAGCATGACCGTCGGATGAGAGCCCTTGTAACTGCTTTTGAATGCACCCCTCCACGCCACGAGACAACTTTTCAACTCCCAATGCATGAGTAAATGCTACCAATCATCCCTGGAAACCCATGCAAATGGTCTTGCATATTGACTAACATCTGAATATCTTGGACACACAACTTTTGCAAGTACATGTCCTTGAAGGTAGGAGTGGACACGGTACGGTTTAGGGACGGTTCCGGTTCCGGAACCGCCGGTTCCGGTACCGCCACCCCTTGGTACCGGTACCGTGACCGGACCGGCCGGTACCGATTCTGGTACCCGGACCGGCGGTTCCGGTACCGGACCGGCCACCCCAAAATTATATTTTTTTTTTGCTTTTTTATTAAATTTTTAAAATGTAAAATTGATTTATTTTTTTGATTATTTTTTTGAAAAATCTAGTGTCCATAAAAACAATTGAGATCTATGAAAAATATTAAATGCAATTGTTGAAAAATTTGGAAGAGATTTATTTTGAGAAAGAGAGTAATATTTATAAGTTGCAGGCTTGCAGGACCGCCGGACATTTTGAGAAAGAGAGTGCAATTTGGAAGAGAATTATTCTGGAGCTGAGGGGCTGGACCGCCGCCGGACATGTTGCAACTTGCAAGCTTGCAGGGAAAAAAAACAACTCACGGTACCGGTACCGGTACCGGGACGAAAAATTTGGAACCGGTACCGGTACCGGTTAGGGCGGTTCCGGTACCGGTTCCCGGAACCGGTGTTACGAACCTTCGACGGTGACGGTAGATGGTACCGGCGGTACCGTTGCCGGTAACGGTACCGCACCGGTACCGTGTCCAGCCCTACTTGAAGGCTTTAATGACACCTCGCCAAAAATGTTGCAAGCATTCTCGGCCAGTAGAGTTCCCGATGAGGAGGTACTCGTCTAACATGTCAACGCAGGTGCCATACGCGAGCTGCCTAATCATGGTTGTACATTTCTCTAGACTAGATAGCCGCTCCCCCATCCAACATCGTCCGGACGCTATTAGAAATACACATCACGAGCTGCAAGTGCAACCGCAAACGGTCATCAGAAAAACACGGAACATTTGAAAAATAATCTTCAAATAAATGGTGACAGACAGTCCCGACGAATGTACAACCACCTACGTGGAACGGGAGGAGTAGCCATTGCTGCTTGTTGTGAGATTTCATTTTGCATCTCCTCCTGATTTAAAGATAAATACTTATCGTATGCCGCAATTAACATATCCACAAGCTCATCATCCGCCGGAGGAAGAACCATTTTTTAGTGAAATTAGAAAGCTAAAAATAAATTGAGAAAAAAAGTGAATTGCGAGAGATGTGAGTGGATGAAGTAAAGTTGAAGATGTTTTGAATTTATAGTGTTGAAAAAAAATTATTACGCAGCGGCACGACGGAACGTTGCAGTAGACGACTAACCATCCATTTTTGCTACATTTCAGTTTTGGCAAATCGCCGCTACTACGGCGTGTGTTGCAACTTCCTTTCCGCTGCTCATCCTGCAATGACGACACGTCCCTAGCCGTGTCGCGAGTTCTGGCGCGGCGCAAACCCCCCTCCCTATTGCATTTGCTAAGTCTAGAAGTACATTTGCCTTAGGGCCAAAGCCCAAATGTAATCATCATATCATATCCTTTAATATAAAATTTGAGAGTTTGATGCTTAGATTGTTGACATGTGGCAATTTTAGAGTTCTATTTTTTTGACAAATAAGCGTACACGTGTCGATTAATTATGAAAGCTTCCCAGACGTGTCAATCAATGCCAATTCAAAGTTGGATCTTCTTATCTACTGCTTTAGAGATCGGGCCTCTGTTTTTTTGCATATTCATATTTATTTTATACTATTAACTAGCACTATATTTGGTTAGGCTAACTATTGATTGTATAAATTGTTGTTTATTCCCACCTTCATCAATTTCAGATGACAAATTGTAGTTCTTCAACCTGCAGTAGCAACCAGCTGAAAACAACCCGCAGCACAAGCCGGCTGAAGCAGGAAAACTCTCATCAAAATTTTTCAAACAAGGTATCTTCATAATGCCTGAGTGTCATTTATTTCATGCACCCATTAATCAATTGATTTGCGTTGTAATTCAACTATGTGTTTGTGTTGAAAATAGAAATTATACGAAGGTAGTCATATATCACGTTGTGATTCAACTATGTGTTTGATGTTCATCTTCGATCATCTCTCTGTGAATTGTTTCGGAGAGACCATGATCGGGCCAAGGGTTTAGATTGTAGTCACGATGGCAACAATTTTTGGATTTCGGTGGGATGAAGATAGTGGCAGTTGGGTAGGTTGGTTATTTACACTGCATCAATATCAATTTCAATTTTAATTTTCATCCAAAATGATATTAATTTGAGACTGTTTTGATCTTTCTATCTTTATTTTTTCTTTTTACTTTTGTATGTCAAAGGCTGTATGAAGAATTCCGGGTTGCTTTATCAAGACGAATATGGAAGTACGTCACCCTTCCTCCAAAGTTATTTTTTTAAAAGAGATTAGTTCGTTTTGAATAATAATGCAGAACCCTCATGTCTGTGCACACATCTGTGTGGCTTTGTGTGTGTGTGTGTGTGTGTGGAGTTTCACATTTACTTCTCTTTAAAGAGTACATGTAATGACTTTATATTTCTTTCACAACTCAAGAAATATATGTTTTTTGTGTTTCGGAACACTCTATTTTTGTTATATGATTCTCATAATCTCATATCATTTCATTGTGTATTATTACCTTGAGTTAGCTAGGTTCTTGATATAGAGCCAATTCATGCTGAAACTGAGATTTTTGAAGCACCAAATGATCCCTTTAATGCATGTGATGATTTCCTTTTAAGCGAGTTTTCTGTTTAATTGCTATCATTGATATGGTGATTACTACCTCCCCCCCCTCCCCGGCCACCAAAAAAACCATCTTCTGACAAAAAACACTTAAAAATTAAGATTTTCGATTACATTATCCAAGAAAGTAGTTACACACCCTTGGATTCCATATTTTTTCATGTGGAATTCAAGAAAGTGATTACTGGAGCAAAATGCTTGAGCTCTCAAACATGAAATATGAGAGCAAAATGTTAGTTGAGGAAAACTGTATGATATTCCTCACCTCTTTCAGTTCTGAGGACATTGACTGCTTGGAGAATGTAACAGACTTCGTGCCACAAAGCATATCATATGACAAGAAATCTACCGATGTTTCCACACCAATGAAATCAAATACTAACTGAATAAGATTTGCAGGTGGATGCAATTCAAGCCTCTGGTGGCAGAAGACATCTAATGGAATGTGCTTTAGAGAAGGTTGTGGGATCATGTGAAACATTATCAAACACTGTGAACCAAATGCTTACAAAGAGATAATGAAACAGGGGAAGGAGTTTGAGGCAGGTCAATTACTCAGTCTTCATTAAGAAATATTCCCTACGTACCATAAAAAAAGTATTTTTTCTGAACTTATATTTGTTCAAAAAAGAGTTCAATTTGAACAAAAGGAAGCTATTTGCATCATATTAGATATATTTGTATAAAAAAGTCGGCCAAACATGTAGTGTGTTAAATTTAGTCATACTCACATAGAAGAGTTATACGACATTATTAAACAGAAAAAAGAACTAAGATTACAGTTTGTAGTCATCAAGTAGTTTGTGCGTATATCATTCTTGGGTTATTATATCTTCACTTATGTGCTATTACATCAAGACATTTATTGAGCTAAAATTTTACTCCCTGATGAAATCACAATGCAATTTTTACACTACTTTATAATGTTTTCACCAGCTTCAAAATTTTAGGTTGGAATATGTTTTAAGTCGTGATATTGCAGTTATTCTTTCGATTTTGATAAATTCTAACTTCATCCATTTGTTGTCGTTCTATTAAAAGCTTTTGACACACGATGATGTGTTTGTGGCAAATTCAAAACATTGACAGCTTTCTAATATTTTCATTCATGTGTTTTTCCATTTTTGAGATGAGGTAGAACTTAATTCTTAATTTACTATATTTACTTTAGATGCAGCATTTTTAGATTGGTTAGGCATTGTAACGCCCTAAAATATACCCTAAAATTTATTGAATTAAATATTCAATTTTATCAAATTTGTTTTGATTAAAAT